TGCAGCTCCGGGGAGGGGGGTGTGGCTTACGTTCCACTTGTGGGGGTCCCAGGCGTGGAACCAGCCTGTGAAGGTGGCGGGCTCGAAGCCCTGCTTGACGGTGATGATGGGGGTGTCCATGTCGCGGCCAGCCGGGTGGCACTGAAGGTACTCGCTGGTGGACTTCTGAGTTTCCTTCTTCTCGTAGTCGTTGGCCGATATCCCCACCCACAGGAAGATCTGCCGAGGAAAACACAGGTCTGAACAGGAGCAGGAGCAGGAGGAGGCCATTCAGCCCATCCAGTCTGTGCCACCATTTTAATAAGATCACAGAAGATCTATAATCCCATTTCACTCCCTTTTCTCCCCCAAAACCTCTCAATATCTTTCTTTTGTATGTACGTCTGTTATATATATGTGTGTGTGGGGTATATATTTGTATGTGTAGTATGTGTGTGTGTGTGTATGTGTGTGTGTGTACATACATATGTATGTGTGCATGTATGTATGTATGTATGTATGTATGTGTGTATGTATGTATGCATGTGGTATACATGTGTGTATGTATGTGTATATGTATGTGCGTGTATATTTGTGTAGGTGAGTGTATGTGCGCGTGTGTATGTTTGTGTGTAAGTATGTGTATTGTGTATTTATTGTCTATACACGTTGTATGTATCTGTATGTGTGTGAGTCCATATGTAAGTAGGCATACATGTATAATGTATTACTGCATTCTGCTTACCTAATTCCGGAGAGTATTAGGCGCAGGTTGGTGAGACCCAAGGCTTGGGGGGTGTGGGGGGGGGGGGAGGGAGCGCTGTCTGGCCAAGCTTTCCCAATGCTTGTCGATCTCGGACACCCTCCCCGTTAGTTAGGTCTTTGGCTGTGGGGTTAACAGGAGCCGAGGGGGAGGATTCCCTGACCCCAGTGACTGGTCGGCCCTTCCAGGTCCTGCTGATGGATGAGCCGGGGCCGGGGCTGGGCGGCCATCAGCCGTGAGTGCCCTGGGACACTGCGGCCCCTCCTGGCTCAGGAACCGGGGACTAGAGACCGTCACAGAGAGGCGGGGTGGGGTGGGGGGGGACTCGATACCCACATTCCGTTGCCAAACATGTCACCTTGGGGCCTAGTCACCAGCTGGCCGTTTGACATCTGACAAGCCCGGGCTTGAGCCCTCACTGGGTACCAGCCAAGACGAGCCAAGGCACGGAGAAGACGAGAGAAGAGACGAGAGACGTTCTCCACAAGAGTGGAGAAGGTTAAGGAAAGATTTACTAAATGATCAGAGTAGATAGGGGAGGAACCGTTCCTCCGGCCGATGGGTTGGTGAAGCAGGGGACACAGATGGAAGATAATTGGCAAAAGAACCAGAGGAGGGTTGTCTCGGAGCCTGATGCGGGGCGTGTGTAAGCCAACCAATACCTCGGTCCACGTGTCCAGCAGCATGATATCCTCCTCATCGAGGTCCTCCTGGGTGAAATCATTGACCTCGCTCATGATGAAGCGCCCGGTCTGGTTGGAGCACTCAAACAGGCGGGGCTCCACCGCACAGTCCTCTTCCTGAAACCTAAGCGTTACAGTATTATTAATAAGAATTAATGATAAATAATGATAGTAAGAATTCTGGCACTCCCCGCAGCACGCTGTCAGCTCGCTGAGGCATCCCATCGCCTTGGGATGTCCTCCCGACTTCTTAGGCCTATAAATATGAAAGATATTTATCGACAGTGAGCTGTCGAACCCAAGTCCTCTCGCTCGCGAGGCGAGGGTTCTAACCGCTGCACTATCCGAAGGGATAACTGTACCCAATAGCGAGGGAGAGGAGAATGGACCCTTTGCAACCCGTGGACCTGTTCTACCTTGTTCCGTCAACCCTTCCAAGCCCACACCCACATCCACGCAAGTCCACGACCCCCTTCGCTCGCTCGGCTCTGCAGCTCTCTCGTTTCCCACCCCCCCCCTCCCCCCACCACCACCTCCGCTCCACCATCGACGGCTGTGCTTTTAGTCGCTCCGGAGCTCCCTGTCCCATTCCCTCCAACGTGGCCATCTTCAGATCGCACCTGAAGACCCTGCTCGTCCAGCGCGCGCTGAGGGTCACCGAAATGCAAGTGGTGGTGGTGGTGGTGGTGGTTGTTGTTGTTGTTGCCGCCGCCGCAATCAGCCGGTACCTTTTGTCGTTGGCGTAAGGTGCTTTTCCTCCCAGCGAGAGCCAAAACTCGGCCGGCTCCTTCCCCTCCAGAATGGTCTGTTTCTCTCGTTTGGACAGGTTGTTGGACACCGACTTGGCCATTTCTCTCTCGTCTCCACTGCATCCCTGAGGAAACGGAGGATGGGGGGTTGAGGAGATTGAAGGACTATTCACCGTGGGGAAGACTGTCCAGCAGAACATGCACAGTCGGCTTCAACATCCCGAGGACTGTGACTCCGACAATGCTCCCCCCACCCTCCTAACCCTAACCCCAACCTCCCCGCCCCCCCTCCTCCCCCCACCCCACTGGACGAGAACGTCAGCCTGGACTGTGAGCTCAAAGTCCCGACGTGGGGCTTGAACCGACAACAACAACAATAATTATAATAATGATCCTTGGGTTTGACCCGGCGCCTCATCGCGTCTTCCAGACATCTCAAAGTGCTTCGCAGGACACGCTGTAAAGTGTAGTGACTGTGCATTTTGTGGGCGATATGCGTGTGTGTGTGTGTGTGGAGTAAGGAAACTTTGGCCAACATTTCACCCTCCTCCCTTGCCCTGGAATTAAACCCGGGTCCTCTCGCTTTTGAGGCGAGGGCTCTGACCGCTGGGACTCCACAACCTTCTGACTCAGAGGCAACGATGGTGCCAGCGACTGAGCCCGGCTCGGAGGGGACATCGATACTTGCCTTCCCGCACCACAGGTAGGTGGTCTGCTCTGTCTTGAGCACGAAGACGTCGTTGGAGTTGAGGGAGGAAGCGCGGGTGGGCACCTCGGTGGCTTTGGTATTCATCTCATCCGTACCCCGGACCTGAAAGAGCCTGACCGGGGGTTCCGCCACCTGCCCTCCTTGGCGACCCGTTCCTCCCTGGATTGGGGATGGGATGGGATTGGGGTCGGGGGGGAAGGGGGGGAAGGTGGGAGAGGGAGGGGGTTGGGAATGGTTTTAGCCCAAGCACAAGGAAGAAAAAAAGAACGTCTTCATTATTATTATTATTATTGCGTTTGATACAGCGCCTAAAGAGTTATGTGAGGTTTACGGTTTAACAACTCGAACGCTTCACGAAACAGCAACACGTGACACGTACACGGCAACTTTTGCGTCGGGAGGACATTCCAAGGCGCTGGATAGTCAGGGATTTGGATCAAAGCTGGGGGGGGGTGGGGTGGGGAATGGGGGGCGGTTGGGATCAGGAGGGGACGGAGGGCAGGGAGGATGGGGGGGTGGGTAGAAGGAGGGTGGCTGAAGAGGAGGGTGGTGGGCTTTGAAGGAGGCGAGAGTGGGGGTGGAGGGGCTCGGCGAATGGACCGTGGGATGGTGTTCCAAAAGGTGGGAGCCACCGGGGCGATCTGGAGACAGACATGAACACACACGCACCTGGTAAACGACGAGGTTCCCTTTGAAGATAACCAGGAAGTGCCGTGGCTCCTTCCCCATCACCACCCTGACCTGGACGGGCTCGTCGTTGTACTTGTTGTCCAGGTTGACGGCTTGATAGGCGGAGGCCGCGATTTCGTCCTGGGTGGCGTGGAGACCCTGCGGGGACCAGAGCCGAGCACGTTACGCACCCGCAGAGCGGCGACACAACCACCGACAACGGCAACGTACGCTCACACGGCAGCACTTCATCGTCAGGAGGGCGTCCCAAGGCGCTGGGACCGTCAAGGGTTTGCACCCGAGCTGCGGGCTGGAGTCGAGGTGGGTGAAGCGCAGGGTGGGAGGTGGTGGTGGTGGGAAGGTGACCGAAGGCACATTCGAAGAGGAGGATCTTGAGACGGGCCTTGAAGGAGGAAAGGGAGGGGTGGGGGAGGGGGGGGGGCGAGGCAGAGGGTCTCCGGGATGGAGTTCCAGAGGATGGGGGTGGAGAGGCTGAAAGACCTGACCTTCGACAGTAGAGCAGGCCGAGCGGAGGGAGAGGGAGCGGACAGGTTGTTAGGGAGAGTATTAGGCCAGGTTGGCGAGAGCCAAGGCTCGCGGTGGATGGGTGGGTGGGGAAGGTGGTTGGGTGGGGGGTTGTGGGGCGGTGGAGGGAAGCCCACACACCTGCCAGAAGTAGATGATGTAGGCCGGTTTATGCCCCTTCATGTAGGTGTAGAGAACCAGGTAACAATCTCCACCGTAGAAGTGACCGTAAGTCTTCGGGTCCACAGGCTCCAGCTCCAGGTCTTCGATCCTCCAGATCTGAGCCAAGCCACAGAGTCAGTCCATTCAAGTTATACCCTACCTCTCGAAAGCCCCCTCCTCGCTGGCCTCCCCAGCTCCACTACCAACAAGATCCACTTCATCCAAATTTCCGATGCCCGCACACTCACCCACACGGAACTCCTCACCCACCCCACCCCCTCACCAGTTCCTGCCCAGGCCCCGCTGGCTCCCTATCACCGAATGGATCGATTTCGAGATCCTCTCCCGCTCGTCTTCAAACCCCTTCACCCGCAAACCATACAGTCAATTCACCTTACAGGCGCCTTGGGAAGCCCTCCCGCCGTGAAAGGCGCTTTTACAGGTGTCATTTTGTTGCGGTGCGGTATATTTTGTGGGCGAAACGCAGCAGCCGATCACAGGGTTCCCCCACAAACAGCCGTGGATCGAGCGACCAAATTATTATTATTATTTTTTTATTTGAAGGGATTATTACCCCCGGAAAGCGATCCGCCAATCGACTAACAACCGGTTGCCTCCTGACTACCGGGTGAACAGAGGCGTGTGGGTGGAGTAAGGAAACCGAGGGTTCGCCCCCCCCACCCACCCCCCACCGCCCGCCCGGCATTCAAACCCCTTGTTCCTCTCGCACGCGAGGCGAGTGCTCTAACCACTGAGCTGCAGGGCTTACCTCCAGCTTTCCAGATCCATCGTCCACCATCCTCTGATGAGCTGCCAACTCAGGCTCAGCGTACAACAAGGTCACATCAAACTTCTTCTTCTCCACTTTGGCTGCCGGGAACGGAACGGCACAGAGAGAGAGAGAGAGAGAGAGAGAGAGAGGGGTTAGATAGAATCAATGGTTGCGGTGGACAACAGATTGTCCTGGTTCTGGTTGGAATCTGTTTGGAATAAGGAAACTTGCCCAGTGTTTCGCCCTGGGACCAGGAATCGAACCCAGGCCCTCTCTGGCTGGCGAGACGAGTGCCCTCACCACTGCGCTACAGGACTCCAAACTGGGACGAAGGCACCAATGTGGTGTGGAGAGTGAGGCGGTGCGGAGGGGAGGGAGAGGAGGAGAGAGGAGAGGGGCGAGGGGAGAAAGGAGAGGGGAGAGTAGGGGAAGGGATAGTAGGGGAGGGGAGGGGAGAGGAGGAGAGAGGAGAGGGGCGAGGGGAGAAAGGAGAGGGGAGAGTAGGGGAAGGGAGAGTAGGGGAGGGGAGGGGAGAGGAGGAGAGAGGAGAGGGGCGAGGGGAGAAAGGAGAGGGGAGAGTAGGGGAAGGGAGAGTAGGGGAGGGGAGGGGAGAGGAGAGGAGAGAGGAGAGGATGAGGGGAGAAAGGAGAGGGAGAGTAGGGAAGGGAGAAGTAGGGGAGGGAGGGGCAGCCCCACTCCCCCCCCGGCTCTCTCAACCCCCCCACCAGCCCCACTCCCCCCCGGCTCTCTCTACCCCCCCCCACCAGCCCCACTCCCCCTGGCTCTCTAAACCCCCCCCCCCACCAGCCCCACTCCCCCCGGCTCTCTCTACCCCCCCCCACCAGCCCCACTCCCCCCTGGCTCTCTAAACCCCCCCCCCCACCAGCCCCACTCCCCCCGGCTCTCTCTACCCCCCCACCAGCCCCACTCCCCCGGCTCTCTCTACCTCCCCACCAGCCCCCCCCCCCCCCCCCCGGCTCTCTCTACCCCCCACCAGCCCCACTCCCCCCCCGGCTCTCTCACACCAATCCACCTGCTCCTGTCTGAGTCGTCTGTTTTCAAGACTGAAGAGCTGTGGAACAACTCTCTCCCTCAATCCCTCCGCACCCCTCCGCCCCCCCACCATCGCCACCCACACCTCCAGCATTCACTGCAGGTGTGGCCTGATTTCAGCGCAGTATTTACATAAGGAAAGGCTGCGAAAAACCTGTCTTTCCTGTGCGCATTGTACTTAACATGGAAACACCGGGCAGACACAGTATCTCCTCACCGCGGGAAGCGGTGACAATGTGGAAGCAAAAAGGCGTCAATGTATTCACGAGGCAACTCGATAATAATAATAATAATAATAATACTACCACTACTCATAATAATAATCCTTGCATTTGCCACTGCGCCTTCTCACGTCACTGAGACGTCTCGAAGCGCTTCGCAGAATATACCGCAAAGGGTGTTATTTTGTGGGCGAAACACAGCGGCCAATTGCGCCACAGCAGCGTCCCACGAACAGCGGCGGATAGAGTGACTAAAACACTATTCTTTTTTTGAAGGGGTTATTACCCCCCGGAGAGTGATCCGCCAATAGATTAACCACCGGGTTCCTACTTACCGCTGGGTAAACTGACACGCGTGTGTGTGTGTGTGTGTGTGTGTGCGCTTGTCCCGACCGGGAATCAAACCCGGTTCCTCTCGCTTGCGAGGCGCGGGCTCTAACCGCTGAGCTACAGTACTCCACAAAGTACCAGCAGGAAGTTAGTGCAATCTGGCGAGGATTTAGAGGGTGGGGAGGGGGGGGAGGGAAGGGGAGCGTCGTGCGGGGCTGAGGGTCAGTTGAGGCGTTTCAAGATTAAATAAAGGTCGTGGGCAGAGGTTATTTATGCTGGTCGGTGAATCAGTCACAAGCGGGAATAAATTTAAGGCCACCACAAAAACGATTACAGGAGAGGTTTCTCGCACGGAGGGCGGTTGGGTCCGTGGAATTCTCTGCCACAAACTCTTGCGGCGAAGGCGAAGGCGAAGGCGAAGACGAAGGCGAAGGCGAAGGCCTGCGGACTCTTTTGAAAAGGGAATTTGGTGGAATACGAGAGAAGGTCCCGAGGTCCAGTTCATCTTCCACCATCCTGTCAGTCGCTTGACATGTCGCGTCCCCAAACTATACGCTGCGCGTCTCTGGATCCTGATACGCAAGTCACCCTCGCGTTCGGTGCAGCGCCTTATCACACCGTTGAGAGGCGCCTCAAAGCGCTTCACGGGATTCACTGCGAAACTCACCGAGCGTATAGTTTTGCGGGCGAAACGCGGCAGTCGAGTGGCGCACAGCAGCGTCGCCCCCCACCGACAGTCGCGGATTGAGCGGCGAGAGTATTATTTTTCAAAAAGGGCACCTAAATAAGTGACCCCGATTTTTTTCTAAGGGGTTTATTACCCCGATTGACGAACAACCAGGTTCCTAACGGACGGCTTGGGTAAGCTGGGCGGGCGGCGTAAGGAAACTTGCCCAGGGTTTCTCCCTGCCCGGGATTCGAACCCAGGTCCTCCCGCCTTGCGAGGGGAAGTGCTCCAACCCCTGAGCTCAGGACCCAGGACTCCTCAATATACTGTAAAGTGGATTAACCGCATCGTTTCGAATACTCCTCCCTCAACAGCCTTGCCCCTTTAAGTAACGACAGCAATGCAGGAGAAGGAATGTGGAAACCCACAAGACCGAAAAGGGGGAGAGAAAATAGAGGGGGGAAGAGAGAGGGAGAGAGGGGGTGAGAGAGGGAGGGAGGGAGGGAGGGAGGGAGGGAGGGAGGGGAGGGAGGGGGTTACACCCTATATCAATCGCTCTGACCTTCCTCGCTGCAGATGATACCAGCAAACACCTCTGATCTCGAAGCCCCAGTCGACCGCAGAATCGTTAGAAGCTTACAGCTCAGAATGAGGCCATTCGGCCCACCGTGCCTGTGCCAGGTCTTTGGGAGAGTTACCCAACTAGTTCCACTCCCGCCCCCTCACCCCCCCCACCCCCCCCCCAGCCCCCGCTCTCTTACCCAATATCCTTGCACATTTTTGTTTCCTTGTCAAGAACCTTATCCAATTCCCTACTGAAAGCTATGTCCAAGAGGGAATCCTCATCGGAATTTTGGTCAGCCGGACACACGTAGAAACCCATCACGCCAAGCCGGAGGAGGTGGGCAGGGAGGAGGTGACTGTAAGCATGGTCTAAGAGGAAGCTCTTCAGTCGTGATTGAAAAGAGAGGAAGGATGGGGCAGGTTGATGAGAGCCAAGGCTTTGGTTGGGGGTGGGCGGACCCTCCAGAGTGTGCGTTGGAGTCTAAGCAGCTAAACCCACACATATCTTGGCCATTAGGAGCACGTGTCCAGCTAGGATCGCCCTCCCCGTTAGTTAGGGCTTTGGCTCAACAGGAACTGAGTGGCTGTTGAGTTGGGTTGAGTTGATTCCCGGCTCCATTTTTTTTCCCTACCGTCACAAAAGTAACCGGGAAAGTGAGGAAGGTTATCCGAATGATAACAATTTGAGTGCATCTCAGAGCAACCTACTGGAAAGTGGAGTGCAAGTGAAATTGAAAGAGTTCAGGAAGGGGGTTGGGGAATGGGTCTGAACAGAAGAGTCCTTGCCCATGGACATGAGGGTGAGGACGAGAGAGAGAGAGGGTTTGGTTTGGTCAGCCATGTGTTTGACACACACGGAAACCCATCACCGATGCTTAACGGCTTCCAAACCGATCTGAGAATTCACCGCCTCCCACCACCACATGGACATCCCAGAGATAAGATGGTTGGAATGGAATGCGCTCTCTCTCTCTCTCTCTCTCCCCTGGAGGGACGCCCACTGTTTACCTAATTCCAGAGAGTATTGGGCGCAGGTTGGCGAGAGCCAAGGCTTGGGGTGGGGGGTTGGGGGGGTGGGGGGGAGCCCAGAGTGTGAGTGTGAGGGCCAGTTAAGTAAGCTCCAAGGAGACCTTGTTTACCCCCCCACCCCACCCCACCACCCAAAAGGATCGAGAAAGATATAGAGTGGAGTGAGAGATAGAAGAGAGTGAGAGAGAGGGGAGAGGGAGTGAGGAATAGAGGAAAGGCAAGATGAGATAGATAAAGACGAGGTGAGATGAGAAGCGTGAGAAAGGAGAGAGAGAGAGCGAAAGAAGAGAAAATGGTTGTGAGAGATTGATTGAGAGAGCGATAGAGAGAGAGAGAGGGGTGTGGTAAAGAGGAGGGAGATAGATAGAGAGAGAGATTGATAGGCGAGAGCGAGAGAGAGAGAGAGAGAGAGAGGAGAGAGAAAGAGAAGTGGGAATGATTGAGAGAGATTGAGAGAGAGAGAAGAAAGAGCGAGAGACCGAGAGCGAGAGAGAGAGAGAGAGACGTAAGAGGAGGGAGAGAGAGCCACGGAGCGAGAGAAAAAGAGAGAGAGTGTGAGAGAAGAGAGAAAAACAAGAGAAAAAGTCCTGGGAGGGGGAGGAGGGGGGGGAGGAGGGGGGACATTCACATCCAGCACCGAAAATACCCTTAAGAACTGTGGAAGTGGAAAATATTAATTTTTCTTATTATATAAAGCTTTGGTTTAGCTCCAACTCTCGCTGTCTGTCCCCGATACAACGCCTGGAACTGATTTGCTGCCCAAGGCAGCCTTCTCTACCCGGGAAACAATCAAACACTGGAACGTGTAACGTGTGGGGTGGGGGTTTGCCCCATTTCCTGCCCCCCCCCCCCACTCTCCTCGGGTTCCGCTCTGCCCCCCTCTTTCCCCTCTCCAGCCCCTGCTCTTAGCCCAACTAGTCCACACTCCCCCAGCAGGGGAATGGGGACTAGTTGGGGTAAGAGCGGGGGAGTGGGGACTAGTTGGCAGCTCTTTCGAAGAGTTGGCATGGGGACGATGGGCCGAATGGCCTCCTTCTGCGCTGTAAGATCCTATAAGTAGGTATGGATCTCTCTTTCTTTCTATGTCTCGCTCTCTCTCTCTCTCTCTCTCTAACACACTCACGCGCTCTCTCGCCTCTGGTATTTTATCACCAACCACCCGCGGGTGTGTGGTTGGATGTCCCCCCCCCCCCCCCCGGGGTCTTACCTCGGTAGACACAGTCAGCGTCGCTTCGCTGACCTTCCTTTGGGGCTGAACGTGTCCTCTGTTTTCAGAGCCTTCTGACGGAGACGGAGGGAAAGAGGAAAAAAATAAACCACCGTCTCTCTCTCTCTCTCTCTCTCCACCTCTGATTGTGTCCCGACGACACACACAAACACACACACACGCGCACACGCACACGCACTCTCTCACCGCCCCCCCCCGCCCCCCCACTCCCTCCCTCCCATTGCTCGCTCACTCGCTCGCACACCTTGTGAAAGAGAGTGAGTAATTCTCTCTCTCTCTCTCTCTCTCTCTCTCGGACTGCGGTTGCTGACTCACCACGCCTTAACCCCCTCCTTCCTGCCTCATTTTCCTATTCCGTTCCCCGCCCCGGGCACAGGAGGCTCCCAAATTCCTCCCCAGACTTAGCCCTGAGATTCCCCCTTTACACTCAAAAGCAACGACAGTAATAATAATAATGATAGCAAAATCCTTGGGTTGGATGCAGCGCCTTATCAGGTCGCTGAGACGTCTCAAAAGCGCTTCACGGGATGTACTGTAAAGGGGAGTAGTGACTGGGTGTTTTGTTCGGGGGGGTGGTGGGGGGGGGATGAAACGCGGCCGCTTGAACGCACAGTCACTCCGGGGGTTCCAGTAAGTGCCGCGAAGCGCTTGGAGCCATTTTGCCGCTCGATAAAGCCCAGTGTCAGACACCAGAGTTGTTATTGCTGTGAGGTGTCGAAACCTGATAAGGAGCCATAAAAGTGTTGGCTGTCCTGCCAACGTTCTCCCCCCCCGCTCCCCCCCCACCCCCTCCCCGCCCCGAGGACACGCCTCGACTCAGACACCTTACCTCATCGTAGGTGGACGACACGGAGTCTGTCCCGCAGCAGAATAGCCCGGGACCGACGGAGCAGATTAACGTGGACAATGGGCTTCAACGAGGGGTGCAGTGAGCGTAGGGGGTTGGGGTTGGGGGGTGGGGTCGGGAGGTGGGGTGGGGAAAAGAGTGGACAAGCGATGGCTGAAGAATGGCGGCCGAACGTCTCACACGTACCCGGGCGGAAAAAAAACCATCTCACAGCACCGTGTCAACGAGACATGGCGGGACTTGGAATCACACGGTCTCGGCTGAGGCTCCAATGCAGCACTGGGGGGTGGGGGGGTGAGGGGGTGAGGGGTGGGGGGTGGGGGGTGTTGTTGGAAAAGCGAAGGGAGTGTGTCTCTCTCTCTCTCTCTCTCTCTCTCTCTTCCCGGAGTCCTGACCAGTTTAGACGGTGTGATTCGAACTGTCCGCCTGGGTCGGGCTCGAACCCACGGCCTTCCGACTCAAGAGAGCGAGAGCGATGCCACTTGTGCCACACACGCACTCGACACGCACTCACACACGCTCACACGCGCTCACACACGCTCACACACGCTCACACACGCTCACACACGCGTTCGTCCCAATTCAATGGCGTCGAATCCTGATGGAATCCCAATTTAACCCCGAGTGAGAGATCGAATCGTCTCCATGTTGTCCGCAGAAAACACAAGACATTAATTGCAGTCCCACTCCAACACACACCGCCTACGAACACCTGTCCTTCCAAACCTTCACCCGTAATATAATACAACGCAACGATACCATTGCTATTCCCGGGACGCGAAGGGATTTGCGGACGGGGTGAGAAGATGGCGAACCTTTCCTCTCGACGCGAAAGGCTCAAAGCAAACGCAAACTGCGGTTAATATTTGCTGTTGTTAGAAAAGAACGTACAGACTCTCTCACCCACAGATACGGTTGGTGGCAGAGACATCCACATTCCTTCCCCGCCCTCTGGGTCAAGAAATATTTTCCGCCCCTCTTCCTGTAAATCCCTTTGTATTGTGTTTTATAACCGTTTCCTCTCTCTCTCTCTCTCTCTCTCTCCTCTCTTACAACCTGACTCTCCGACCGACGCACGTTAACCTACTTTCTGCGCCTTTCGTGTCGGAGCGCGCCTGGCAAGCGCTTCGCGGGGTTTTTTTTTGTTGCTGTGAAGCGTAGTGACTGTGCATGTGACTGTGGAGTCCTGTAGCTCAGTGGTTAGAGCACTCGCTATGCAAGTGAGAGACCTGAGTTCAATTCCAGGCAGAGGGCGAAACCTCGGGCAAGTTTCCTTACTCCACACAGAGCCTAATAATAATCCCTCCAAAACCAAAAACAATAATAAATTGGTCATTTTCAATCCACGACTGTTTGTGGGACATTGCTGTGCACAATTGGCTGCCGCGTTCGCCCACAAATATACAGTCAATTCACTTTACAGTGTGTTCTGTGAAGCGCTTTGGGACGTCCTCCCGACGTGAAAAGCGCTATATCAAATGCGAGGATTATTATTATTATTATTGCGCAGCAGCTGAACGCAGCGAGAGAGAGAGAGAGAGAGGGAGAGAGAGAGAGAGAGAGAAAGAGAAAGAGAGAGAGAGAGACGGTGAGTTTCAGGGGGTGTGAACCGCCAGAGGAATTTCAGGAATCTTAACATACCGGCGTCGTAGGAAACGTGTCCCTCAGCTGTTCCTCCGGTCTCTCGGTCGTATTTGACGCTCATCGAAACCCGTCCCCGCGTTTAAAAGCCTCCAAGTTCCGCCTGAGCCCCCCCCCACCCCTCCGGCAATCTCCCTGCGTCAGGAATGGAGTGTGCGCTCTGTATCTCTCTCTCCCGGAGCGTGCACCCCACTTAATAACAACAACAACAACAACAACAATAATAATAATCGTTGCATTTGATATCGCGGCGGCAACAAACGTCGAGGAATTCTCGAACCGTCTTCGATTTGGGGACCCGAGAAGCCAATCTCCGAAAATTCCTCCTTCGAACCCCTTCACGGGCTCCGCCGTACAGTGAATTGACCGTGCGCTTTGCGGGCGAAACTCGGCAGCCAATTGCGCGCGGCGACGTCCCCACACACACAGCCGTGGATTGAGCGACCATGTTATTACTTGTTATTTCTTTCCGAGGGATTACTGCCCCTGGGAAGCGATCCGCCAATCGACTACCAACCGGGTTCCTACTTAACGCTGAGGAACCAGAGGCGCGAGAACTCTCTGACCACTGAGCTTCAGGGCTCAGCAATGAACCGTGATCCAATCCCTCTGAAAAGATTAGGGCCTCGTTTGACTCTCGGGAACCCGTTGCAGATTCTCTTTATAATCGTCAGAACCCTTCTAGTTAATTGCTCGCTCTCGGGGAACCTCTACACGGACCGTTTTAAACCCCAGCGAGTGAAGTGCCCTCGGAAATCATCCGCCGCTCGTTACTTCAATCACCTCCGTCAGATTAGTCTCAGACCAAACTCGAGCTCTCCACGTGGCCTGAAACCCTCACGGGTGCGGTGGAGGGGTCGACAGGTGACCGTGACCGGTTTAACATGTTATTCGCAGAAGAGAGAGAGAGAGAGAGAGAGAAAATCAGCGAAATCTCCCTTTGAGGCGTAGCGGGGAGAGGAAAGGGGGGGTACGGGGGGGGGGCGGTGCGGGGGGAGAGTGGGAGGGGAAGAGAGATGTGTGGGGGGGGTGGGGGTGGCGAGGGAGATGGGATGGGGGTGGTGGTGGGGGGGGGGGGGGAGGGAGGGAATTGACATTGACCCCAAATGCATTGGGATTCGAGCTTTTTGTTGATCCAACAGACAAACCGGTGACACATCCGACCGCAATTGCTGGAATGTCATTTTGTTGTGACAATGGAATTTTTTGTGGGGCCGTAAATTCTCCCCCACCCATCCCCCCCCCAACCCCCACCCCACCCTACCCCACCCTCCCTTTTTTTCTCCTTCACCCCCCGCACTCTCTCCCTCCCCACCTTGCGTTTGATGGGAGGGCCTTATCGGGTTCCGTCGAGACATCCCCCTCCCCAAGTGGAACGACTGCGTGTATTTTGTGGGGCGAAACGCGGCAGGTTTTTTTGGTGGTGGGGGACGGGGATGAAGGGATTATTATTACCCCCTCCAGGAAAACTAACGACTGGATTCCTACTCACTGCTGGGTGAACAGAGCCTTGTGTGTGTGTGCGTGTGCGCGTGTGCGTGTGCGCGCGCGCGTTTGCGGAAACTCGCGCGGAGTTCCTCCCCGCTCGCCCGGGAATCGAACCCGGGTCCTCCCAACTCGTGCGAGTACGGGGCTCCGCGAAGAGGAGCGGAGGAGGTGGCTCCGTGCCCAGCAGCTAAGGGTGGTGGCTGCTGTGCATTGTGTGTCTCAATCCTCGCCCTCCTGTTACTGTGCTGCCGACGCCGCAAAACTCCAAACAATGAAGTTAAACCGGATGAGCAGTCGGAGCAGACTCCCCCCCTCCTGCCCTCCCCTCCCCTCTACCCCTCCCCGCTCCCCGCTCCCCGCTCCCCGCTCCCCGCTCCCCGCTCCCCGCTCCCCGCTCCCCGCTCCCCGCTCGCTGTCGGAATTATACGAATGACCGTAACAATCCTCGAGACGTCTCGAAGCCCTTCGCGGTATGCGCTGTCAAGCGGACAGGAGTGTCCCCCCACCCACACCCCCCCCCCACCCCACCCCCAGTCGTCGTGGAGTAAAGGGACCAATATATTCCCCCACGGGACGTCATCACCCCAACAACAGGAAGATAGCAACAGGAGGAGGCCATTCAGCCCCTCGAGCCTGTTTCCCGCCATTCCATAAACCACGGCTGATCTGTACCTCAAGTCCAATTACCCGCCTTTGCCCCATATCCCTTGATCCCCCGACCTAACAAACATCTATCCACCTCAGCCTTGAAGCCTTGGATCCACAGCCTTTGGGGTGGGGGGGGGGGGGGGGGGGGGGGGGCCACGGGGGAGAGTTCCAGGTTTCCACCGGAAAATATTACATTTTCCCAACCGGGGATTTTGATTCAATCTGATCGGAGGCTGTGGATGGATACGGCTGATAGGACCTTCAGAGGCTGACGTGCTACAGGGTACTACGAGGAACCAGTAGAGATAACAACAACAACAACAACAAGTTATATTTGAAAGGCACCTTTCGGATCTGAACTCTGACCTTGTGTCCTTCTCCCCGTGGCTCCGGGCCCCCACCCCTCCCCACTGCGGCGCTCCTCAAAGCTGCCAACGCTTCTCGGAGAATGTCACTCTGACCCACAGCTCAGTCTGACTCTCTCTCTCTCTCACAACAACGCTCCAGAGCTTTCAACCCAAAGAGAAAGAGGGAGAGAGGGAGAGAGAGAGAGTGAGAGAGAGAGAGAGAGAGAGAGAGAGAGGGAAGTGAGGGTGTGGGGGAGACACAGAGAAAGGGATGGAAAGAAAACGGGATTGTCGGGCAGGACGCAGGGAGAGAAAATTCCTTCCTCTTTTCGCATAGCGCCACGTGATGTTTAACGTCCACCTGAACAGGACGCAGACAGGACCTGGGTTTAATATCTCATCCGAAGGACGGCTCTCCGACAATGCGACACCCCCCACCCCCCCCCCACCCCCCACTCACCCCACCACCCGCCCCAGCGCTGCGTTGGAGCCTCAGCGTAGACCGTGCGATTCCATGTCCCGACTTTGGGGCTTGAACCCACAACCTTCTGACTCAGAGGGAGAGAGGGAGACTGAGAGAGAAAGAGAGAGAGAGAGAGAGAGAGGAAAATAGAAACTAATGGAAGGAGAGCGGAGAGGAACGAACGACAGATATGGAAAAGAGGAAGGAAAGAATTTGGCGAAAGGGGGGAAGGAAAGCCAAAAAAAAAGAGGGGGAAGGATTGGAGTGAGGGGGGAAGTTGGGGGAGGAGTTGGGGGGAAAAACATTGTTCGGATGTCGCTGTGAGCAAACTGACTGCCCGCCTACAGAATACTTTTTTTTCGGGTGGGGTGGGGGGTGGAGGGGGTCAGTCGGATGGGTCTGACGGTGCACACAACAACGACAGCTCACCGCGCTGCGTCTCGGAGCGCTGACACAGTCACTACTCTTCCCCAGCGAAACCCCGCGGGACAGACGTGGCCCCTCCCCAGACGTGAAAGGCGTCTTATCAGATGCGGCGGCCGTTCTCACTGTCAATAAAGACGCGATAACCCTTACCTTCGAGACCGCGCCTTATTACCGCGTTCACGGGATGTCTCGAGGCGCTCCACGGAAGCGGACGAGGGTCGGCTGCGTATTTCGGGGGCGAAATTAACGACAACCATCAAAAAAAAAAAGTATAATACATATATAAGAACGTTTCGGAGCCAATAGGTAATGTTTCCCAGCTGCGGGTCGCGGGAAACCAGCCCGGACTCCGACTCGCAAGAGTGATTTTTTCCTCTTCTGGTTCCAGCTCCACCTCACAGAGAATTCCTCAGCGGAAAAACATGACTCGCCCGGCACTCCCGTGAGGCGCGGCCTGTAAACCGAGCGCTCCACCAGCTGGACGCACGCGGTGACGAGCCGTCCCGTAGCCCAGCGGTTGGAGCGCTCGCCTCGCGAGGGAGAGGACCCCGGGTACGATGCCCGGGCGGGGGACCGAAACATTGGGCGAGTTTCCTCACTCCACACACACACACACACACCTCTGTTTACCGGCAGTCAGTAGGAACCCGGCTGTTAGTCTATTGGGGGATCGCTTTCGAGGGGTTAATAATCCCACCCAAAAAGTAATAATAATAATTTGGTCGCTTGATTCCGGGGGGGTTGGGGGTGGGGGGGGGAGACACTGCTCTGGGCGATTGGCTGCCCGCGTTTGGCCCGCAAATTACACAGTCACCACACTTTGCCGCGCGTCCCGTGTGAAGCGCTTTGAGACGACCAACGGCCGGAGTTATGGTGGTGACGGGGGACAAGAACTCAAACGTTCCAAAGAACCTCTTAACCAAGGATTGAATTCTTGTCCCCCCCCCCCCCCCGGACTGTGTTCCCTCATCAGCACCACCTGCCCATCCCACCCCCTTTCTTACCCCTCCTTTCCTCCCCCACCCCCACCGCCGCCGCCACCCCCCACACATACACACCCCCACCTATGGGTAAAACCAACTCAAACCCCCAAATTCCAATGTTAGAGTCTTTTGGGGTCAGTGCAGTGTCTCTCTCTCTCTCTCTCTCTCTCTTTCTCTCTCTCGCCTAAGGTCTAAGCTGAGACCTTGGTCTGAGACCTTGGCCGTTAAAGTACCTTCTCCCTATTCCGGTGGACGTTAAAGATCCCGCGACTCTATAGGAAAAGAGAAGGGATTTTCTCTCTCTCTCTCTCTCTCTTCCTTCCCTGGGTTCCTGGATGACAATCTCCCCCCGAAAAAATTCGTCGCCCGCTCCGGTGGCCGTTTGTTGGGGCACCGCTTTCCGAAAAACTGACTGCCCCGTTTTGCGCCCACGGATTCATTATTAGAATGATTAATAATTCGTTATTAATCAGACGCCAGAATCACTCCTGATTCATCTGCGGGTGTTGCCTCGTTCCTCGAGTTAATCAGCGTCAGGAAAGCACTGAAGGAAACCGTAAATCGGTTCTTTTAAGCAGTGTCGGGAGTTGCTCTCCCGCTCTCTCGCTCTCTCTCCCGGTGTCCTGGCCCCCCGATAAAATCCATGCTGAGTTCACCCGTAACACCCACAGTCACTACACTCTGCACCATCTCCTGTGAAGCTCTTCGA